ACTCATTTTGTCGCCGTTCGCCTACTTAGCCGTAGACTCATATGAAATATAAAAGGTTCAAAAAACTGTTGTCATAACTTGACCATGAACATAACTCTTTCCAGCTCATTGTTAGCAATTCGACAGATTAATGATCCGACACAGCATCACCAGATCTGAGGCAATCGCTGCACTAAAAACTCCAAGAGACTTACTGAGAAGAAAAAACGACAGTGAAAATCTAAGTCTAAAGCCTACGGCTGAAGCCATACAGTCAACCCAAATCCTGCCACACCTTTGACAAATGAATGCATTTAATGAAAAAGATTACGCATTACATGTCGATTGATCGTTTTTGGATGCTTCATTCCATTTCAATAAGCTTCTTAAAGGTGACTGCATATTTAGTCTATGTAACTTGCCGAGATCTACTGATATTTTAAATCATTGTTCCCATCCTCTCAGACAAGTTTTGTACCAATTTGCTAACCTCTGAGGGATGAACGGCTTGTTTCGTACGAGTCATCCGATCAAACCAAAGATTCTGTATACTGGATGGCACATCTAACAACTATGTTACACGGGTTCTGGTGTTCTGTTTACCACAAGAAATATATTTCTGAATCGAATGGAAGAGTAATAGAGGAAAGAGTTCACGACAAACAGATGACAATTAGCGGAGTGGAAACCAAGAGAATGTAAACGCCTCGTCCTCGTGAATGGGCGAAAAACATTGAAGTCAGTCAAAAGTGCTTGCCATCAATAGCTACAACAATACTGAATTATGGATCAGGGAGCACCAAGCAAGAAGCAAACCACGTTCATGGACATTGATTGCAATGAACCGCATGGCAAGCATTGTATTTAATTTTTAATGCAAGAACTTTTAAAAAACTAAATTACTTTCTGTTGAATAAAACAAAAATGTTTGGCTCACTTACTCCGTTCACTAACTCTTTATTTGGCGAACTGCAATAGCGCCGGTTAAACCGCTGCGGAGACCGAATTTGGTGCTTTCCTAATTTTTCAGGAGATGGCTCTAATCCTTCACGCAATGTTCTCTTCGGAGACACATTTCCTTTTGAATCAGACGAATGAGGGATGTCCTTTCCAATGTAATCTACAAGGTATACCCTATGACATAGAAAAATTTTATGAAACACTTTCGCTTTACACGGCCGTACGCTTTTGTTGAAAAACTATATAAGAAAAACATACAAAAACTAGTGAACGGCTAGAATTTTTCAGAAAAAAACGCAATCAGTAGTTACCCGCAAATATCCCTCGGAGTAAATCAACTTCCTTCCCACGCTCAATGACCATCTGTCGGATAGATCGAAGTTCCTCAGCACGCTCTTCATCACGGATCTTCAAAGCATCTAGTGACGACTTCACATCTTTCAAAATATCCATCATCGCTGTACGCTGAATATAAAGGATAAAGCTCTCGACGTTGACCAATCACTGAGGGATTCGCCGGGCATTCGACTTCATTAAGTATCGTTGGAGATGATTGAATGCATATCTGGCTTTTACAATGACTCGCGGAGGCTTACCGATGTATCGAGCCAGTGCTACTATCCTCCCAGACAAATCTGGTACCAATTTGCCGACCCCGGAGGGACGGAAGGGTTGGTGGGCCATGGGAGCGGGGATCGATTCCACGTATGTGTCGTAGTGGCGCCTTCAGCCACTGCGCCACACGCTGAATATACCTTAGATAATCCACCCTAACCTATACCTACGATAGAAATGAAACACCTCATTGTCATCCTCTCCGGAATTCTGCAGTTCATTTTCCTTGTTTTCAGAGTCCGCTGTCTGTTCCACACGCGAGGACTCCTTCTTATCCATTATATTTCGCAATTTCGCGAGACGAGAAGTACCCTGAAATAGCGAATTAAACCATTCCTATCAACAAGTTCTTTCAAAGAGAACTATAGAAACCCCTGCCTCTATTGTTTGGGAGACGTTTACAGTCTTGCCAAATGCAACCGTCTTTTTCTTCAGATTTAGTCTGACTGGAATGACCGTAGGGACACTTCTAGTAAGACAAGATTTGCGTGGCGGCTGAGAATGATGTTTTAATGGAGAAGTATTAGCCGACTTCTTCACCAATGTAGAAGCTGACGGAACAGGTTGTTGTGTCGTAGACGACGTATTAGACAGTGTTCTTCGTTCACCAGGTGTTTTACCAGTGGCTCCAGCTGTCACTCTTGTTGTAGGATGAACCGCTTCTTCTCCAGGATATAGATTATCGTTTCTAACTGTTTCTTCAGTGACACTACAAAATTAAAGTGTGATTTCAACATTTAAAACACCGAATGCTACTGAACATAAAAAACAAGGACAACTAGAGTTAGCAAATTCGTGGCAACATGGATCGTATTCCTAGGCTTACATAGCGCGAACTTGCTGAAATAATAAACTACACTCATGTCGAGAAGACCCTAGATCCACTTTTACACAACAATGCTCATAGTTTTTTTTTGGTGTACACAAATAAGTTTTTTATTTAGAGGCTGATATAACGAAAGGACCACCGCCATCGACTGAACAACTGGAATCCCGTTCCCCGTCAATGATGGTATTTTCTATCCAAACCTTTAGAATTTCCACCGTTTATTTCCTTAAAGTAGATCTCAAAAGCTTGAAAACAAAGTCCTATCCTGAAAAAAATTACAACTACCCCTACAATTCTTCCTAAAGTCTCTTCTAAAGGGTGAATGTGTTAAAAACGCAGACGTGCTATGAAAACGCGACTTGGAAAACAAACCACGACTTCTTCGCACTAATAGTTTCTAGTGGAGTAATTGTATATGGAATAGGATCAGCCGATCCTACAACTGGGACGCGCGACAGTCCAGCTGAAAAGGAATAACACAGCATAAACAGGACAAAATATGCCACAAATTGGTTTCAATGAAGAAAAAACCTACGCGGTACGACGTAAGATATTAAAGAGCACTTTGGGCCATCATCGACCTCATGCATTACACGGAGTACTACAAATGAAACCTCTAATAGTTGAGTATATGAGCAGAATCACACACATCCAGGACAAATATTACCACAAATTGATGGAAACTACGATATATGGAACATATGGGAACAAAGACAGGAACAAGAACCAATGTTTCCACGCATCTTTTTGGGGTGATTGCCCCAGTTTGTCTTCAACCTACTGCTACTTTCTTTAATCGGCTTTTATTTGAATACTTAGATGGCCTATCCTCACTGGTTGTGCGAGCCCCAGAATAATCTCCATTCGTTCAGAGGTCTGCTGGTTTAGCCATTGGGATTCCCTGGATTCCCTAGGTCAGCCTAGCCGAAGTCTGCCCCAGGGTCGTCACCACCAAAGACAGTCGACCACTCGTGGATCAAAGAGCGATTTACCACCATGCGACTTTGATACCAGGACTGTGGTGGATTCTGGTATTGGTTTACTCTTAGCTAGGCTTCCTGATGGAAACGCCGAACTTCTCCTTAGCTTGGGAGAACCTGCCGAGGGGACGACTCCTCCCGCTGTACATCGCAGGCCGACACCCAGGAACACCACCCACTCACAATGAGGCGGTAAACCCCTGGGACGTTTCATCAGAAAATAATTTTTAAAAAAGTGCGGAAGACTCATAGAAACTACAGCAGTCATAAAAAGGAAGATTACGAGCACACCAAAGCTCTTTGTAGCCATAAGTGAACTTTCGGTGAACATTTATGCCGCAAAAGTAGAGTCATACAAAAGGAACACTGTGGATATGAAAGAATGACACAAGAAAAACACGTGAATCACGGTTAGAAACCAACAGAGCTACTTACTAGTGTTGTGAGCATAAGTGATTTTCAAAATTTGATGATTGTAACAACAAATAATCGATTGGTTGATTGATTGGTCAGTTTCGATAGCTTCATCATTAACAGCACCCAAACGTTACAAATAAGTTAGATTGAAATGTAAAGTTACAAAAACTAGAGTATTTAACTCGAAAACGTAGGCTCCTAGGAATAAACTGTTGTGTTAGGAAAACATAACGATACACACATACTTATAAATGACGTCACAGAATGCAGTAAAAGTGCATTCAAGTCCTTAAAGCTGTGATTTGGACCCGAAGAGGAAGACGAAGAAGTATAACAAAAAAAAAACTAGCTCTTCAAAACTAGTATAAATGTAAAGAAAAACAGCTAGCAGAACACTACGACATACGTCTTCTACTCCTTATTCCTACTAGTTAGTCGGTGAGTGGCTGATGTTACATTGTTACTCAATCCTACATAATGGAAACCAGTCAAAGCAGCAAACTTAATCACTTAACAGAAGTAAAGCGGTCCACTGACAGTGAAATAATAAGGAATCGAGAAAGTTTCCTAAACCACAAGAAACATGGCAACAACCAGCGCTTTCCAGACATGGATGCTCTATAAAATACCGAAAATGCTCTTTGGCAAAGATATTATTCTGCGTTTCTGCAGTCCAGACTTTCATTGAACTCTAAACGACGAGGTAACACATGAGTTTTTGCAGTTGGACTTACTACTAGCTCCGTGTTAGTCTCCATTTCAGTGCACATCTGAAAACCAGAAGACATGGATGAATAACTGGATAACATAAGAGTTATGAACATTACACAAACGAATATATGTAAGCAAAGAGAAAACTACGAATACTGTTACATGAAAAACTTAGGAGTGCATATCCTTTAAAAAAATTGCACTCTATGAATAAAACGAGGTGAAAGTAGATTTCATATGAGAACATAACCTGCATGAGAGAACGATAACGATAGAAAGACGCTTTCCTTAGGGGTAGCCTTTCCTTTTCCCGTACCACAAGTTGGCTAGTCGACTTTGACCTATGCCACCTGTACTGTATTAAAGACGACACATGTGCAGCATCCATCATTGGAATGTAGCCACATGGAATGCATTCCGACTAGAAAACGAACATATTGTAGATCACAAAATGTGGCAAACCAAGGAGAAGTTGCTAATACAAAAGTTGTCTGACATTGGATTCAATTCTACGAAGGGCTACGAAGCAAAAGAGTGACCTTGTAACTTCCGTCGTTCCAGAACTTTCGATAACCCTGATCCAGCAAGTACATCTCTGCATAGTCAACTTTTGGGTAATCGAGCTCGTTACGTTTGCGGTCTAAGCTCCGTAGGGCTAGCGCCCTGGAATAACTACCAATTAAGGTCATCTAGTCCATGACTATCGTAAATACACCTCGCAATGGGAAAAAAACAAGAAAGAACTGATAAAACGTGTTTTATTTTTTAAAAAAGCGACCAGATTTTCAATGCTTTAATTAGAACTCACATTGCTGGACCTCGCTTCTGACTGAACTCGCAATAGAAAATCGGAATTCTTGAACGTATAGGATGATGTGGATCCTCAGGAAAGAATATACTTTCTAGATCGCTATGGTCATGAATGTTCACAGCATACTAAAGGCATTGTTTTAAGAACAAATTAACAAAAACCTACAGATCAATGCATTCAATAGCTTTTCAGGTTGCACTTAGACTTCTATCAAGTGCAAAGCGTCCGTTATACTCCTTTAACAACTAAACGTTAACACTTCGAGCAATTCAACCCAACTGTTACTAGATACAAAGCCACGGAACTCGCTCATATGAAGGATCTCCAGCCAGTTAGTAGCGAGACTACATAGCGCGTCCCCATGTGGCGAATAGGGGGTTAATCCCGGACCAAAAGGTAATATTGCTTCCCTGAGAAGCAGACTGATCCAGGGGATAGAATCCATGTATCTGCTGCGCTGATTTGACACACAGGTACAAAGCACATACCAAAAATATTACAATTTCAAAGCATCATTTCTTGCTTATTGATTGAAAAGATACTCTGTTAAACTTGCTGAACTCATTCGAAACACCATGAACCGCGCTTTTTGACTGGCTACAAGTGTACTATCAAACTCACGGAAAAAGTTCTTAATGAATGCTGCACTATCTATGGCTACGAGGTATCAGCTAGAACTAATTCCCCAACCATGTTGTTCTCATAACACAAAAACGAAGATTCGGGTTCCATAATTTAAAAGTTTCGTTTTAAATGATGTGGAAACTTGTAACACAACTGAAAACGGACGAATTAAACAAATAGTCCAAAAAAACAGACCATAACGTGTCCACCATCGTATTCATAGGGATATCTGCAATCCACTAGCATGTAACGACGATTGAAACCTTCTTGACCAAGACGACGAATTTCCCAAGCCAAGGTAGCAGCCGATATACTTCGGAACGCAAGTGACTCCTGCTGTGGATTTTCGACGCCCGGTAAGGAATACTCCTCAAACACGAAAACAACTACAAAACATCTCAATAAAAGGTACAGACTGCTAGAGCGCCCATATTAAGACGTACGATGAAACCGAGACGTACATTACCACCATGAACTTGCATTCTGCAACGAAAAATGCTTGTATTATCATATTGGTTCTCTCAAAGTCACCAATTACTGAGTCATTTTTTAGCGTCAACAATGGAACAGTTTTCAAAATTAGAGACGAGATAACTAGTACCATCCTAAACCACAGCCATCGTTATCGATCACTTGCCCGATAAGGTAAAAAATCAGAATTATCCAGCGACTTACATTTCGAATGCAACGCGCCAAATTCACATACGGATGCCAAAAAGAATCCACACAAGTCACCTATTGTAGTAACGCACCTCCGCTTCACCTTTGCGGTTTTGTAATAACCCGAAAGAATTCTAGTAGGTCTATCACTCTCAAAACTCTGTTCCTATTTCGACGTATTTCGCTTCTATATATCTGTTAGAAAAATAGACCATAAATTCGCAACCACTAAATCAAGAACTGGTCCTAAACTACAAACACGCAAACTCCACTAGGCCTTCGATTATTCTGTGGTTGCGGATCTATGGCTTTACTTGCTATCTGAGGTAGCCAGACGAAAAACTTTGCGACAGTAAATAGCTTCTTTATAAATGATAACGGATAAAACCCTCTGCGCTGATTAATCCCAAAAGGATGCGAGAAGCATTTGACTACATTGCGCACTGTTGGTGATTGAATGCATATCTGACCTTTACAATGACTCATATATATATATATATATATATATGTATATATATATATATATGGTGGCCTACCGATGTACCGACCCAATGCTGCTATCCTCCAAGACAAGCCTGGCAGCAATTTGACGGCTCCGGAGGTATGGAGACCTTAGTGGGCCTAGGTCGCCGTGATCGATCTCATGTGTACTGCAGGGTGCCCACGACCACTGCGCTAGACGCCCCTTAGAATTTTTATACGTGAAAAAAATTTTAGAATCTTTCCGGGCAACTGGTATCTAATACGCATACAACCACTCTGTAATATATATTAGATATATACACATATCTATATGCATGTACGTACATATATATATATATGTAATATATATATATATATATATATATATGTATGCATCTGTATATGTAGACGATTCCACGTGTGTGGCGCAGTGGTTGGAGGCGCCACTGGAACACACACGTGGAATACATCCCGGTGCCCATGGTCCGCCAAACCTTCCATCACTCCAGGGTCGACAAATCGGTAACAGTCTGTCTGGAAGGATAGCAGCACTGGCTCGTTACATCGGTAGGCCACCGCGCGCCATTGCAGAGACCAGATATGCATTCAACCACCTCCAACGATACTTAATGAAGTCGAATGCATGGCACATCACTCAGGGCTTCATCAACGCCCAGAGCTTTATCCTTTATATATATGTATATATATATATATAAATATATATATGTATATATGTAGTCCTATGACGAAACCATACAAGGCAGAAGTTTAATCTTTTTAAGAATTCGGTCAATGTTCCAACGATTTACGAAATTTCAGTGGTCCTTGAACAAAGAACTCATGTATTTAAGTCCTCAAATTTACTTGAACCACAAGCAATTTTTTTTGTTCCTTTCAAGTACTTTCCTCCCAACAGTTTACCTAACTGCTTTGAATCTTTCGTTTCTCACTTCGACCATTCTTTCTTTTCCTTTCCATTTAGTAAATATTTCAATTGACTCATTTTAGAGCTAGATTTTATATTGCATTTGCCCAGTAACGGCTGAGAGGTGTTACTGGGTATCGACCTGCGATATACAGCAAGCGAATTATTCCACCAGCAGGGTTTCCCAAACTGAGGAGTGCGCCGTTTCCATCAGGAAGCCCACCTTAGAGTGAACCAATACCACGACCTATCACCGTCTTGCTACCAAACTAGTCGCATGGTGGCAAATCTCGCCCTGATCCACAAATGCGGCGATTGCCTGTGGTGGTGACGACCTGGTGCAGACTTTGGCCAGGCTGACTTCGAAACTCCAGGGAACCACAATGACTAAGCAAGCATAACCCAGGAAAAGTGAAAATTTTGAGCCCGCACAACCAGTGGGGACGGGCTATCCAAGTATCCAAGTGAGTGAGCTCAAGTACTTTGAAGTACCAATTTAATACTGGTCGCTTCATGACTGTTTTGAAATAAGACCTTCTCTCTCATAATAGATGAATAAAAACGGTAAATGAAATTGCAAAACAATGACCCACCACATCTTGACTAACTCTAGGTAGTTTCTGTTGAAATTCTCCCAGTTCCAACTGGCCAGTACTTTGCGTGCGCGTGAAACTTCGTGAAAGATTGGTTGATCCAAATAAGCCGCACTCACTTAGGTAGGAGACGTTGGGTGAATAATCGTCTGGCTCGAAAGTCTCATCGTGCAACAAGTTTATCTCGCTCTGAAACATCATTTCCTTGAAAATACACTAATGACATGAACTAAGAATAATCAGAAACTACAAAGTTCAGAGATTCCAACGATACCCGGGCAGGTTAATCTTCCGTGTTTTTAGACTTTATCATCGTTTGACTTCCAAAAACAATATTTAGTCTGATCATATAGACAGACTATAGGCTTATCATATTTTCGTCTCCCTCCTAAAGTCCTCCTTAGCCCTAACACCTTCCCAGAATTTACATAGGAAATAACAATAGTTTTCATGCTTACGAATTTTAAATTGTTTCTTGCAAAACTACCATGTAACAAACAAGGTATTGGGTGTAGGCAGAGCAGTGGTAGAGCTGTTGGTTGCAAGGCAGTTCGCATAGTTCGACTCTACGCAGGGCCTAAGCCTCCCATTCCTCTGAGGCAAGAAATTGGTACTACACCTATTTAGAAAGAACTTCCTATAATCCACGAACGCAGGCTATTGGCTGTGATGAAAATTTCAGAACTAATTAGCATGGTAGTTCCAGAATTCCAGGAAGAATAAAGCCGACCAGCTTTCAACGACATTCAAAAAGAAGAGAATTCTCAAACGGTAGCTGAACTGACACGTAAATTATAAGGCCTTCACAAATGATAAATACGAAGCGACGAAGTGAATAAAAGAGGTGCTGGGATATGAAGAATGTGTGATATCACGACATGTAAAAAAAGTAGTTGAAAATCTTGTTTTGTTCTCCTTACATCTCAAATACCAACTGCTATGGAAAGCTTAATCTTTAGAGGGCTTAGTACTGCCCAAATAACTTCGATTCGATTTGATTTTCGCATTTGGTTGATGATCTACTATTCGTGTCAACCACGTCGGAGAATTTGTCTCATAAACTGATCTCAACCATTAAGCTGTATTTTCCACTTTAAAAATTTGCCTTCCTTTGCACATAATTCTTCATGTTCTACGCATAGGTTCTGCTATGTATCGCCCCAGTTTTTGAAAAATTTCCAATTTTTGTTTCAATTCCAAGAACAAAGAGCACCCGACTCCATGCCTACCTTTCCGACTCCACGATAGTTGATGTCTTAACGTATGTGTTAGACACTTGGTCGCCACGTAAGCAGTATGAAAGGTCACTCAGTGTTATCGAACGCGCAGTCGAAAGAACGATGCTAGAAGTATCCCAAGTCAAAGAAGTAAAGGAAGGGCATCAACGAAGCTCCGACTTACGTCACCAATTAGAAAACAGAGGTGCTATTCTATACGCCATACTCTCGAAGATGGTGGTTCGGACACGTCATGCGTATGAACGAAAACCGATGGACAACAGCCGTTAGTACTTGATTTCTCGGGATCTCGAACGTACTGCAGAAAGATCACCGACCCGATGGTCAGAGTTCTTCACGAAAAGCCTAGAAGAAAGGCATTATGCTCAACGATTTTTAGAGCGTACAGAACCCACTTAGCTACTCTTGCACGAGCCAGGGTAAAACAGTAGATTTACTCACGTCCGCTCGAGTCACTTGATGATCAGCGGGACGATGGGTGATACGGATGAGAGGTGATGTGCACCCAACAAATCCATACGATAGAGGTCATTAGTCATAACGACTTGAAATGGAGTAACTGTCAGTTACTATTTAAAATGAACAACAATGTGTTTAACACATGGTTGCTTTTTTGATAGCTCCAGGTAATCCGCTAAATTCACGATAAGCACACAAAAAGTTGTTATTATATACTATTTATTCACAAATAATCTCTCGGCAAAATTCGCCTTCTTCAGAACGCTGAAAAGTCAAGTTAACTGCGATCTAGTCGGCCAACACCTTCATAACCTCAACAGAAAAAACACGATATGTAATTTTCGGTCACATTAGAAACAAAACAGCTTCTTCAGACACACACACCCTTTTCTGCGAGTTCTCCACTAAGTATTCAAGTAATTCATTTGAAGACCTATCGCACGTAGCTAACATGGAGCCGCTCTCACGTTTAGATATCAATTCCAGATATTGTATGAGATCTCGCGTGAGAATGACATTCCTCACTGCGGTTCATTTTTGCATTCATGGAATTCATCGAGAATGCACCTAGGGTTTTACGCGTTGACCTTATCCATTCTTGTGCGAAGATCACGACTTTTACTTCAGGATCTTTTCCGCTATATCTCTGTGTTCGATACGTGAGCAATGGAGTATTTGGTTTAACTTCAATGTTTACCAACTGGGCGTTTCTTTATACGACCGCAGAGTGGTCCAACCGTTTCGCCAATGTACTAGTTCCAGTACGTTTCACAAAAGACCAAATACACCGTAGCGGAATGCCTGCAATCATCGTTTCTAGACGCTCATTCAAACGATTACGAACTAGCTGCAATTTTAATGTTCGGTGGCAATTCAACCACTGTTACCGAATTCTATCACTGATACCTAATTAATAAACTTCCTCCACTGTTCACATACAAATGGGGTGCTTGCGACAAACACGTTTCGAACAGGTACCAGTACGCAAATGAAAACTTGGTGGGAAAATGGCATTTCCAATGGCTAGGAAATGGCATTTTCTTGGAACAAACTTAGAGGAAAAATGGTGTCCACAAACGATAAGTTTAGAGAGAATAAGGTACCGTTTGTCTTCATTTACCTTCATTTCTTTACCTTCACTTCCAAAGTAGGAAGTATACCTACAAAAC